CACATCTTCATGAATTACATGTCGGCTGATAACCTAGGCATCAGAGAGTTTTATTTTGAAGTCTAAACACGAAATACTTACATCAGTTCAATGAACACAGCTTTTCGGTGACTGAAAAGAGATGCAGTGATACGTTCGATAAGAGATGTGACAAAAGTGATTATAGGTGTTCATCATGTGACAAATCGATGCAAAAACATTCTCCACCATGCTGTCCAACGGTTGACATGCCATGCTTCCTGCTTCATTTCCCGGCAGATGACTCTGAGCAACTGAGAACACCTGACAAAAGCAAATTGTTACAGGTTACTATTATGCATAAAATTGTTTTTGGTGTTGTACAATGCACAGAATTCATATACCGCAAGCTTACTGCGGAGAAAATTTTACTTAAAAAGACATTGTTCCTGTTTTCTACAGATGTCTATCAATTAAATTGATACATATGAATGCATTTATACATAAATTTCACTGCTCTTCAATTTGGAATTTTTCTGTTCTCGTTTAATCAACAAATAAAGTGAGTGGTAAATCTTCCGAAGTGAACCTTCCGAATAAGTGATGATGATGATGCTTGTTCAGGTGTTCAGTCGACAAGCCGTCATGATGGAAGCNATGAATGCGCTCTATCGTATCGCTTTGTTGGAAGCAACTGAAGAATTCAGTGATGTCGAGTATGATGAAGAAAAGATCAGCGAAGAACAAGAGCGCAATTGCAATCATTCTAGTGTTGAGCAAAGGGTTGAGATTGAAGTTGACGCAATCGCTATTGAAATCAAAGCTGAGGAAGATTTTGAAGTTTACGATGAAGATCCAGCTGAGGTGAACGGAAGTGCTGATTGTGCAGTTGATCCTGCACGTCACTCAAAACCATCGCTCGAATCGACGACTGCTGCGGAGATCAAACTGGAAGATTCCACAAAACAGTTGGCGGTCAATCCTAAGGATCAGTCCGCGCATGCAGAAGAATCCAAAAATTCCGATAAATCCGCCACAATTTCCAGAGATTCTGCCAGAGAAATGGAATCACAACAACGCCAACCAGCCAAGAAACCTGCTCCACTTCAACGATTCGCTGCTTACGTTCAGCAGAAAATCAGTCCATCTGATGAGGAGGGCCGCAGTTTAGCAAGCAAAACTGAGTCTAAAGCTGTTGCTGGGAAAGGAAAACGCTCAGATGGAGATAGTGGAAATCACAGCGCTGGAAGTGCTGGCAGTAGTAGTGGGGACAGCGGTACGGAAAGTAATGAAAATAATTCAGCTGATAATACAGGCTCGACAGGAAGTCGCACACCAAATGGTAGTAGAAGAAATCATTTGGGAAATCTGAAATTCCTTCGTGGTCTAAAACGACGGTCCAC